ATTTGGACACGTACATGGATTGAATAGGTAATAGGGGATATGGACTAAACACAAGCAAATTACGAGTTACGAGTGGTGTACCACAAGGATCTGTTCTGGGTCCTCTTCTATTTGTAATTTTTGTAAATGATTTGGATGAAGGAGTGGAAGGGTGGATTAGTAGGTTTGCGGACGATACGAAGGTGGGTCGGGTTGTGGATAGGCTGTTCTAGGTTGCAAAGGGACATTGATAGGATGCAGAGCTGGGCTGAGAAGTGGCAGATGGAGTTTAACCCTGAAAAGTGTGAGGTGATTCATTTTGGAAGGACAAACTTGAAAGCAGAATACAGGGTTAACGGAAAGATTCTTGGCAGTGTGGAGGAGCAGAGGGATCTTGGGGTTCATGTCCACAGTTCCCTGAAAGCTGCCACCCAGGTGGATAGAGTTGTTAAGAAGGCGTATGGTGTTTCAGCTTTCATTAATAGAGGGATTGAGTTCAAGAGCCGTGAAGTTATGCTCTAGCTCTCCAAAAGTCTGGTTCGGCCACATCTGGAGTATTGTGTCCAGTTCTGGTCACCTCATTACAGGAAAGATGTGGAAGCATTGGAAAAGGTGCAGAGGAGATTTACCAGGATGTTGCCTGGAATGGAAGGAAGGTCTTATGAGGAAAGGTTGAGAGAGCTAGGGCTTTTCTCTTTAGAATGACGAAGGATGAGAGGTGATTTGATAGAGGTGTACAAAATGATCAGAGGTATAAATCAAGTGGACAGCCAGAGACTTTTTCCTAGGGCGGAGGTAGCTATTATGAGGGGGCATAGTTTTAAAGTGAGTGGAGGTAGATATAAGGGAGATGTCAGAGGTAGGTTCTTTACTCGGGGCGTAGAATGCATTGCCGGAGAGGGTAGTGGAGTCGGCCTCATTAGGGGCATTTAAACGGCTATTAGATAGGCATATGGATAATTGTATAAGGTAGGGATGGAGGTTAGATAGACCTTAGGTTTAGGGTAAAAGTTTGGCACAACATCTTGTGCCGAAGGGCCTGTACTGTGCTGTACTGTTCTATGTTCTATGTTCTAAATGGGACTAGATTAATTGTGAAAACTGGATGGCATGGACAAGTTGAACCGAAGGGCCTGTTTCCATGCTGTAAACCTTGCTGACTCCATGATGCTTTAATTGAAGTGAAGCTCTTGTAAAGCTGCAGATTCTTATTAAGCTGCAAGGTTTCTTGTCATCCAGAAGTTTTTTTTTCTCAGGCAAAATCAGAATCAGAACTGGTTGGAAAGATTCAAGGTCTGGTTGTTTATTACCTTTAGATACTTACAGCTTGTTACAATTTCAAAGTTGTTTGGGTTGGTTACATGTCCAGTATTGTAGATTTCACACTTTGAAAGTTTGAGACTGTTAGTGTCTTTACATTTAGAAGACCCACTCAATTGCTATTACTTTTTGAATTAGTTTCACGCTAAAGCATTGAATCAACAAAAAAAAGTTTAAAGTTCAGAATATATTGGGAATGTAGAATACTTCTGTTGCATGTAAATAGATTTTAATCAGGCTGGTCAAACAGACACTTGGACACTCAGGGCAGAATTTTCCCCTTTCTGGTCTGGTATGAGTAATGTCACAAAAGGTGGGAAAATACAATGAGAGTGAAAAAAATCAGATTCTCCACATCGAGAGAGATTTTCCGAATTGTCCCCTCAAAGTGTAAATGAAGACTTCAGGATCTCACCACTGAATGGTAATTACCTTATTTCCAAGCATTTGCAACTCATTAAAATCCCAATCCACCTCATTTAGAGGCCACTTCTAATTCCCCTCTCCTCTACTGGGAAACTACACAGCACAAATTCCCGACATGGAATACAGAGCAGCTGCAGCTCACCGAGCTCTTGTTCCAAGCTTGATGCAAAAGTCTGTTCAGAACAGTGTCTCTGAATGCTCCAAGGTCGCTCTCCTTCTCAACCCTTCATTCATGTAGCATCAGCAAACCACCAGTCTCATCACATCATCCTGTCTACTCTTGGACCATCTCACACACCACTTCAGTGCTTCAACAATTTCCTTTGGAGCTCAGGGACACCCATGACTTGCATGTTAGACCAGGTTGCTTTGTGTACAGAGACAGGCATGCATCTACACAGGGGTGTTTTCTCCTTATACAGACACATGGATCTTATGGATCTTAACTTGCTTACAAAGTGCACGTTCCTTTAGTGCTTATTTGGAGGCTGCCAGACTCGTAATACTTTAAACAGGAAGTTTGGAGAAACTCAGCAGGTCTGGCAACATCTGTGGAGAGAAAAACAAACTTAATATTTCAAGTCCAGTAACCCTTTATCAGACCTGTTGGATTTCGACAGCTCTTTCTGTTTTTATGTTAGATCTCCTGCATCCACAGTTCATTATTTTGTCTTTATACTTGACATTGCTTTCTTAACACACAGTTTCTGATTTCAGCACTGATTTACTGGCTTTGTGTGGCTAGTAACTCCAGACCCACAGCAAGCCGCTCTGTTCAAAGGCAAGGATAAACAACAAATACCAGGTTTCCCAGTGACACATGAAAGGATAACGACAGAAAAGGCTATTCTTGCCCGAATAAGATTAGCTTCTTTGTCTCCGGGATTGTTTGGCTGAGATACTTGTAAATGTTTCATTAACACCAGGCAAGGACAGTAACCTAGCTTCTACTGTCTCCTTGTTATGTGGGCTTGGGGTCATCATCAATATCAAATGATAGCAATCAAGGCTAAGGGGACAGGTAAGGTGACACTTCTATCAATCTGGCCCATAATCACAGATAGTCCTGAACCAACTGCTGGTCCTAAGCACTGAGAATTTCTCTCTTAATGACACACTGTAGGAAATCTTCAATATTAACAAAGGGAACTGTCTGCAATATTAATGGAAGCTGGTTAATCCTTTTTTTAATGAAAAGGACAACAATAAGGGCATGCTCATTTATACCATAGACGTCAGAAATGGCTTAGAAAATGTTGGTCAGCTCAGAAAGACATGAAAGTTTGGACTCAGAATGAAAGCAAATCAGTGCCTGCTCCAATATAGCTTAATAGCCCCACAGTAACTAGATGGCCCTTCATAACAATAGTGTACCATGAGTTTCAGACTCGACAGGTAGATCATTACAGCCATCTGCTCATCATGTAGAGAGAGGTTTATTCTTCCTGAATTGCCTGCAGCAATGAGGTGACCAGAGATTTGCCCTTCAATATAACTGGTGTTCTCTAAGTATGGTAATTTATTTGAGATAACATTTGTTTATCTGATGGTATCTTGACTGGTCATGTGCTCATTGATCAATCATCTGCTTCTCTTTTTAGACTAAAAGCAGAGTAAACAAATTCTGTGAAAACTCTTTGACATTGGATCAGTTTGATAGGGCTCTTGGGAATGACTGACAGCACATCCTCAAATCCTCTTTCAGTGAGGATGTTTAACACAATAAAAATGCCTCTGTTCCATAAATAACCAGCCAGGATGTGATGCCAAAAATAACATCAAGCATCTGATGGCAATAGACCCAAAGAAATGTTTTTCTGATTACATCATCCTTCAAAAAACCTTGCATGCTGAGAGTGTATGTTGGAAGATTGAACACACGCAGCATGTGATTTTTGCAAATATTAGCATAAAATGTCGCATAGAAAGTGGTATGATGTCCAGTTGAACCCAAAATATAAGAGAGTGAGGAATTGGAAAGCTCGCTACTTTTCCATCCACCATGATCGCTTCTTGTTCTCCCAGGGTGGAGATTCATGCCCTCTTCAGTGCTGTGTTTGGTAGGTCCTTGGCATTTATTCGAGTAAAGTGGTCACCATCCCACAGCCAGACCAATTAAGGCTGTAGCAGGAAAGTCCACAGGTGGCCTTCCTGCCCCAAGTGCACAATTAATGCCCACTTAAGGACCTCACTTTGACAGTATTAAGACACTAGGAGGTGGAGGGCTCACAAAGTAGAGCGAGCAACAAGGAAACTCTGGCCTGCTTCATTGTAAGCTCGTGTCAGGGGAACCCTCGTTCAATGCCAATAAGACCCAGAATCAGGAAGTGGGAAGCACAATGAGATCCACATCCTTGCATTTGTTGCCCACCCTCTTCCAACACTTCCCTTCATCCTGTGATGTCATCCACTTGATTCCTCCTCCCACCCTTGTTCATCTGTACCTGGGTTGGGTATTTAAATAACTTCACAATTTAACAGTTTTGCAAACCGTCCCTGCCCTTCAAGAGCATTTACTTCTAATCTAAAAGCTTGTAACTCCCACAATATGAGTTATAACCCTAGCTACAGTGAAAATGGGATCTGTTTTAACTCAGCACTGAGTTGAAATAGCCCTGCTGACTTCAGGTTTCCTCAAATGCGAAACTCATCGTGCTCCCTTTTCCCTTCCAGTGAAAATGGGGTGGAACTTCTAAAAATGGTTCCATTCTGGAAGGTCTGTGGAGTCTTCACAACTTCGAGAAAATCCTAGTCTTGATGTTTGACCAGGCTGGAGCAGAAGTTGAGGAATAGGGATGAAGTGAGGAAGAAAAGGGTGTAAAGACTGTTCACTTCAACAACATGGACAATAGCTGAACCTCACTGGGACAGCTGGATTTGTAAGACTGGCTCAGAAATGTATTAATTTTGAGTGACTAATTACAAATTGTGTTGAATAGCATGAACTGTTTTGGGCTGCAGTGTTTGCCTGAAACTTCTTTGCATTTTAATTTCAGTTTAGAAATTCCAATATTTTGTATGCGATTATGTCTGAAACAAATTTCTGGAATTGTAATTTTAATTAATTTCTCAAGAGGTAAGTTATTTCAGTGTTCGTTGTGCAAAAGATCAGTGGTTGATAACTTTTCAAGGCTGGAAGATGTGAGGCAATTTATTTGAATAATTATTCAGTCACTTCTTGCTTCAATAATGAACTGTGTACCTTATCATATTAAATTGCTATGCTTTCTATGTATTATTCAATGGCTGGAGATATTTTCATTCTTCTTTTTCAGGCAGAAGGCAGTCGATTACAAAGGGAGCTACGAGGCTATCTCACTGCAGTGAAAGGTTGTAACACAATTTTGAAAATCTGTTTTAAGATTTGTGTGCTGGACATGCATAATTATTCAGCCAATCCTAACATTTCTAAGCTGCTAAAATCTTCACAGTTCTATCGAATCCACCACTTTTGTATATAGATTTTACAATATTATCAGGCTCTTGCAACTTCAGTAGGAAATTTGACTGGCTGAATGGTGAGAATCAATAACATCAGAGTATAACTTCACACAATCCCACCTTATTTGGCTCCCTGTATGATTGCTTATAAATCCTGCAGGCTTCTCTGTCTATTCTTCATATTAAGTGCAAATAATAGCACACCTTAATGTATTCAAACAGAATGGATGCTACAGTAGGGTGTCAAAACTTGTTAAAGTTATCTTTTGGTTTCCAGGGTTTGGGGAAAAAAATGAATTTGTTTAATATTTTGGAAGAGCTCAAGTTGCTGTTGCCAGATAATCAAATCCCATATGTTGTCAAATCAAATCATTGCCTCGTGTTGAAAACCGTTATGTAAAAAGGTGCAGATTGTAAACAGCTTATTTTAATTAATTTCTCTAAAGGTAGATTATTAATAGCTTAAGATAATTATGCCCATTTCATGTGTAGAGGATGAAATGAAAAAGATAAAATGTCTTGGAAAGTCTTGTTAACTGCATACTAATGTTGAGAAGACATATGTTGAATGTGTTTTTATCAATTTGAAGCATTGTAGGGAGGGTGAATGGTATAGATAACCAGACCTGATATTAATATACAAGTAGAGGTGCAGGGGTCTTTTTCCTTCTGTGCAATCTTTCAAATAATCCAGCCTTGACAGTCCTCTGTGGTAAAGAATTCCACATATAAATTCTGTGCCTGTGTGCTTCTCTTTCACTTCACTAGATGAAGGGACAGCGCTCTGAAAGCTTGTGATTTTAAATAAACCTGTTGGACTCTAACCTGGTGTCATCTGACCTCTGACTTTCTGAGAGAAGAAATTCCTCCTCTTCTCTGTCTTAAATGGCTGACCCCTTACTCAGGAATTATATCGTTTTGTCCTAGAGTCTCCTACCAAGGGAAACAAGCTCGTTAAGAATCATGTATGTGTGAATAAGGTCTCCTCTCATTCTTCTAAACTCCAATGAATTCAGGCCCTATCTACCCAACCTCTCCTCATAAGAAAATCCTTCAATGCCTGGGATCAGCCTAGTGAACCTTTTCTGGATTGCCTCCAATACGAATATATCTCTCCTTAGACAAGGGGATTGAGACTGTTCACAGTATTCTAGATGTGGCCTAACTAATGCCTTGTATAGTTTTAATGAGACTTCCCTATTTTTATGTTTCATGCCCTAGTACCTGCTAAACTTGGATTCTTGCGTGTTGGGATTTATGCACAAGAACTGCCAAATCCTTCTGTGCTGTGACTTTCTGCAGTCTTTCTACACTTAAATCATATTCAGCTCCTCTGTTCTTCCCGCCAAAGTGCATAACCTCATATTGTCTACATTACATTCCATCTGCTAAATTACTTCCTTGTTTCCTTAACCTGTCTATCTCCCTCTACAGACTCTTTAGGTCAACCTCAGAACTTGCCTTCCCACTTATTTTTGGGTCATCCGCAAACTGAGCAATAACATGTGCACTTTTCTCATCCAAGTCAATATATAATATGAATAATTGTATGAATAACTGTAGCTACTTCCTTTAATATCTTAGGATACAACCCATCAGATCCAGGGAACTATTGTCCTTTATTCCTATTAATTTCCCTAGTACTTCTTCTCCAGTGATAGTTATTGTGTTTCCCTCCCTTCCCTTTTGCCCCTTGATTATTTACTGTTTTTGGAATACAATTTGTGTCTTCTACCATGAAGACTGACACAGTATTTATTCAATCCTCTGCCATTGCCTGGTTCACTTTTGTTATTTCCCCAACCTCGTTCTCTAAGGAGCCTATGTTCATTTTGGCCTCCCTCTTCCTTTTCTATGTTCAAAGAAACTTTTACCATCCATTTTTATTTACATGCTAGCTTAATCTCAAAGTTTACTTTTTGCATTATCTTTTGTTGATTTTTAGAACTTTCCCAATTCTCCCTCTTACCAGAAAACTTGACCAGCATTTCACAACACCTCAAAGATTTGCATTGGCTAAGCACCAGTATCATCACATCATCATGTCATATATCTAACCCACTAATAATGGTTCACCACTTTAATGCTGTACTTTGGAGCTCACCAACACCTTACGATGCAATGCAACTGCCAGATTAGGTGGATTGGCCATGCTAAATTTAGGGCGGCATGGTGGCTCAGTGGTTAGCACTGCTGCCTCACAGTGCCAGGGATCTGGGTTCGATTCCACCCTACGACGACTGTCTGTGTGGAGTTTGCACATTCTCCCCATGTCTGCATGGGTTTCCTCCGGGTGCTCCGGTTTCCTCCCACAGTCACAAAGATGTGCAGGCTAGGTGGATTGGCCATGCTAAATTGCCTGTAGTCTTCAGGGATTTGTAGATTAGGTGGGTTGTAGGGGGACGGGGTCTGGGTGGGATGCTCTGGGGTTCAGTGTGGACTTGTTGGGCCAAAGGGCCTGTTTCCACACTGTAGGAGTTCTCATATCTAAATTGCCCATAGTGTCCAGGGGTGTGTCGGCTAGGTGGATTAGTCATGGGAAATGTAGGGTTGCTGGGATAGAGTAAGGGGTGAGTCAGGGTGGGATGCTCTTCAGAGGGTCAGTGTGGACTTGATGGGCTGAATGGGCTGCTTCCATACTGTAGGGATTCTATAGACATCTTTCTATGATGTCCCCTTCAGCTAATTATCACTATGTTCTATTACTTGAAAGTGGAATATTCATTTATGTTGAAAGAAGAATATTCAACAGAGACGCATCTATTATTATCCAAAATCAATGTGTAAGTGCACATAGTCATAAAGTCACAGACTCATGCAGCACAGAAACAGACTGTTCAATCCAAACAGTCCATGCCGAACATAATCTCAAACTAAACTTGTCCCACTTGCCTGCTCCTGGCCCATATGCCTCTAAACCTTTCCTATTCATGTTTCTATCCAAATGTCTTTTAAACGTTGTAATTGTACCTGCAGCCACCACTTCTTCAGGAAGTTCATTTCACAACTGAATCACCCTCTGTTTAAAAATTTGCCTCTTATGTCTTCTTTAAATCTCTCCTCTCTCACCTTAAAAATGTGACCCTAGTGTTCAAACTCCATCCTAAAGAAAAGACATCTACCATTAACTCTATCTATACCTCTCATTATTTTATAAACTTCTATCAGGTCACCTCTCCACCTGCTATGCTCCAATGAGAAAAGTCCCAGCTTATCCAGCTTTCCTTCAAAACTCAAACCTTCCATACCTGGCAACATCCTGGCAAATCTCTTCTGAACCCTCTGCAGCTTGATAATATCCTTCCTATAACAGAGCGACCAGAACTGGACACAGTACTCCAGAAGAGGCCTCACCAATGTCCCGTACAACATCAACATGACTTCCCAACTCCTCTACTCAAAGGACTGAGCAATGAAGGCAAACATGCCAAATGCCTTTGTAACCATTCTGTCTTTAGAGGAGCTGACAATCTGATCTCTTTATCTTCTTCAGGGATGCAGGAAGCCTCCACGAAGCTAACAGAGTCACTACATGAGGTCTATGAGCCTGACTGGTATGGCAGGGATGACATTAAAGCTGTAGGACAGGTAAGATCCAAAAGTCGACGGGATCAGGTACCTTTTAATAGAAGACTGATGACTTGTTATATTCTAACAAATACCCAAACGTCAATTCGTGTCATCTCATTGTGTGGGATATTAATGACGCAGAATGGTTGACACACCTGGCCTTATTATGACATTTAGTCCTGCACTTATGACAATTATGACACCTGTGAAGGTGCTATGGAATGCAAGTATTTTATATTATTAAAGAGATTGCTACTTTTAATTTTTTTTCCTTGCAAATTATTGGATTCACTTCAAGATGTAGGCCTTTGACTCGTTAGACATTTATATCCAGTCATTTTTTGAAAAAGCAGAATTCTGTTGCAATTGGCCTATTTGGTATAGAATGGATAACTTTTCAGAAATCAGGTGACAATTCTTGCCTTGTAGTTTGTGGCTAATCTTTTATATTGCCCTGAAGTAGACTCACCCTTATGCAACAGATTATGTGAAAGATTTGTGTAATTTGCTCAGATTCAAATTAGTTCTTGTGGGCATTCCGATATAGGGAGTAAAAAAGTCAGTGATATTGCGCACATGTATATCCCTTTGAAGGTTAATTTAATGTGTTGTCATGCTCTTTCAGAGGAGGCACCAGGAACTAGCAAGATGCAGTGCTCTGCTGCTGGTTTTGAGAAGCCAATAAGTTTCACAAGTTGAACCTTGGAAGGAGTCAGAAGCAAGAATTTAAAAGCTACTGAGACTTTGGAGTCTACTGCCAGGGCATAGCAAATGGTGCTTTGACCTGCAAAGTCTTTGGTGCTGAGGACATAAATGGCTGTGACCATCTGCTTGGAGGTTCCCAGTCTCCTGCTGTACTAGATCTTTACTTATCTCCAATTGTGCCAACTTTAACAGTATTGAAGGCTTGGCTTCCATTGCCTCCGTACCCCTCTTTGCACTCCTCTCCTGTCCTGCTGATCATGTCTTGACTTTACTGCATAGGTCATAGAGTTATAGCGCTGTACAGCAAGGAAACAGACACTTCGGCTCAACTTGACCATAATAGCCAGATATCCTAAATTAATCTAGTCCCATTTGCCGGTATTTGGCCCATATCCCTCTAAACGCTTCCTATTCATATAGCCATCAGATGCCTTTTAAATATTGTAATTGTACCAGCCTCCTCCACTTCCTCTGGCAGCTCATTCTACACATGCACCACCCTTGGTGTGAAAAGGTGCCCCTTAGGTCCCTTTTAAATCTTTCCCCTCTCACCTTAAACCTATGCCCTCTAGTTTTGCACTCGCCTACCCTGGGAAAAAGACCTTGGCTGTTCACCCTATCCGTGCCCCTCATGATTTTATAAACCTCTATAAGATCACCCCTCAGTCTCTGATGCTTCAGTTTCTCCCTGTAACTCAAACTCTCCAACACTGGCAACATGCTCTTAAATCTTTTCTGAACCCTTTCAAGTTTCACACCTTTCCTATAGTTGGAAGACCAGAATTGAATGCAGTATCCAAAAGTAGCCTAACCAATGTCCTGTATACCTGCAACATGACCACCTAACTCTGAAATGCAATGCATTGACCAATAAAGGCAAGTGTACCAAACGCCTTCTTCACTATCTTGTCTACCTGCAGCTCTACTTTCAAAGAAGTATGAACCTGCACTCCAAGTTCTGCACTTCATCACAAATGAGGCCTAAAATCTTACAATACTGTACCTATTGCCAGCTGTGCTCTATATTCTGGCCAGGGGCTGTCTAATTTTCAAAGCAGCCTTGCCCTTGCTCTTTTGACCCTGCAATACCAAGAGTTGTTGACCTTATTTCAAGCCGAAGCATTAAGTTCACACTCTCCCTGCCACATGTACAGTAACAAAGTGCACTCCCTTGCATAGTGTCCAGTTACCCTTTGCCTCATTCACCTTCTTAATGCTCTAATGTGATGCTTTGGATTTACTCTAACTGGCTCCTGGCTCCTTTTCCCATCTATGTTCAGCAGGTCAATTTCAAAGCTTACTGGTTTGTTAAAAATTGAGACTTCAGCCTCTGACATGTTAAAAATGAGCATTGTAACTCATCTAAGTGTAGTCAGTTGGGAGCACAGCTGAATTTCTTTTTTCTTGCCCTGGTTATAATTGCTCGCACTAGGATCAGTGACTTGAAATTGACATGCACCTGTTGCAAGTATTTCAAGCTCCCCACCAACTTCTGTCCATGACTTTAGCGAGCACAGAAATGTCAGCCCTGTGACTGTATGTGAACATAAAGTGTCAGAGAAATGTAAAACATTCACTCTGAGTTCTAAAAGATTCATTGTCACAATGTGGTATTGCCTGTCAAGATAGGCAAATATTGGTCACTTCTTAGTGCTTGGGAAGGGTTTCTTCCTGGAAGCAGGTTAATGAATGGCTTGCTTGGCCATCCCAAAGGGCAGTTAGGCATCAACAATGTTGATAGAGGATTGAAGTCACAGATAGGTCAGAATGAGTAAGTGATAGGTATCCAAGGACATTGGCAAAAGACTCTGATTTTACCATTCCATTCTTCCAAGTTCTCTTCCTTCATTGTTTGGAGAATGGCCTGTTTAAAGGTACTCAAAGGTTTGACATTGCCACTCCTCCTCCTGTCTGGCATTGCTAACTCCCAGTTATATTCCACATATATCTGCAAGCGACTAATTTTGACTTGAAGATAATCACACTCAAGTGGGTACCTGTGTTTACCTGGAAGCTTGCTGTGTGGATATGTATCGGGTCATAACATTCAATCACTGTTTATTATTCATGTACCACCATCTGTTTGTGCTTTTTGGGGAATCCCCCAATATTAAATTGACCATTTCTCTCTGAATATTCCAGGTTTTTTGATGTAAGTTGTTTGTAATCAGATACTGATGAACTATTACAGAGCTACTGTTATGACTTCCTCTGAAATGATCCTTTCCTTACTCCTCAGAGTTGTGATTTGCTGTGGGCAGACTTTCACCAAAAACTGGTGGATCAAGCCTTGTTAACACTGGACACATACCTCGGCCAGTTTCCTGATATAAAGGTAACACATGATTGTGAAATAATCAATTAACAATGATCATTGATACTGAGGTTGGTTTTGGCTACAGATTACATTGTAAATCAAGCTCAATACCAATGGTGCAATTGTAACTGCGCAATATCAATCTGTCCTGATTTTCAAGAAGTTAACAGGAATTAAAGTGACCAATCTGGTATTTTCCAAAGTGATCCCCACTGATGTACATGCAAGTGTATTTCTGTGTTACAATGTAGATGCCTAATTAATGTTTGGGGGCAAGGTTTCATCTTCAGTACAGAGCTTTGATTGCTGTGAATATATGGTGGGGAGGGCGTGACTAATTTTTCCATGCACCTCCACATTTGTCAAATTCTGCAGCAGAACAATTGTAGACAGCATCAATTTCAATACATTTAACAATGCCTAATTATAGTACGTAGACAGTACACATTTCATTTGTATGATGTGTGTTTGTTTCCTGCAAATTTCGTTCTGTCTTGTTTCACAACCTCATTCACAAAGAAATTATGGGCGATTTTATCTTTCAGTGGGAACAGAGCTGTTAAAATAGGCCAACATTCCCTTCCCTCCCAATTCCCCATGTTAACTCTGCTGGCTTTTGAAATAACTCCACAGAGGCCGGTATCCCGTCACCAAGTCACCCTTATGCATGTGCAGTGCTCAACACTGCTCCAGCTCTTACAGTGAACATGATGTCACTCCTGTTCTTATCTGTCAGCCAGGGCTCCCTGATTGGACCGGATTAACAGCCCCAATCAGAGAACTCATATTCCATGAGGTCCACTGATGACTTTGTTAAAATCACTACAGTTTTGGTTTTGAAGATCCTGCTAGATTAATTCATGAGTAAATCGAAATTACATTCCCATGAAGGAGGAGTGCTGCTCAGGGTTCCAAAAAAGAAATCCAGGCCACTGATGCCCGAGGTTATTTATCCATATACCAGATTCCCTCAGGCCAGAAACAGATGAACAGCTTATCCGCATGGTTCAAACTTGGCCTGGCTTTCAATATTCAGTCAGGCAGTCAGCTCTTGCTTCACATGTAGGATTGATGAATTCTTCTGTCAGGGTTAAAAATCCATTCATTTTGGCAACTGAATCTCATTTTGTGAACTATTGGCTAAGTGTTACAGTTAAACTGTTCCTTCAGTGTTTTTGACAGACATAGTAGAAACGGCAGATGCTGGAGAATCCGAGACAACAAGGTGCAGAGCTGGATGAACACAGCAGGCCAAGCAGCATCAGAGGAGAAGGAAGGCTGACGTTTCAGGCCTAGACCCTTCATCTGATGACCCTTCCTGCTCCTATGATGCTGCTTGGCCTGCTGTGTTCATCCAGCTCTGCACCTTGTTGTCTCCTTCGGTGTTTTTGTTTTATTTCAATTCATTCACTGGATGAAGGCAACGCTGGCCAGGCAGCATTTATTGCCCATCCCTAATTGCCTAGAGGGCAGTTAAGAGTTAACCACATTGCTCTGGGCCTGGAGTTAAATGGAGGCCAGACTAGGTAAGGATGGCAATTTCCTTCCCTGAACGACATGAGTGAAGCAAATGAGTTTTTCTGACAATTGGCAAGGTACAGCATGGTCATCATTAGACTCTTAATTCTGGATTTTAACAATGTATTCTACATGATAAATGCAGGAAAAAGACTTTGTTGTCCTGTTGTTTCAGCCATTCAGATCAGCTCTGGGCTGCCATGTGAAGGCTATAACTATATGCTCTTGGGCTTCTGTATGAACCAGGTCTCCATATTGTGCCTGACATTGCTGCTGTACCGGCGCACCCAGTGCTGTCTCTCCTGCTGCCTGTTGACCTCATGAGAACTGCTGGAGCCTTTCAGGTCTAATGACAATCTTGTTTAGTTGATGCATTCCCGTCTCCAACGTTGCAGGCCTTTGAATGCCAGAGAATGTAAGTCAGGCAAGTCATACAAAGTGTGTTGTGATTCCTGCCAGAGTATCATTCCCTGGGTGGTGAATGTGAGAATTTGCCCCACTATAGCGCAGAAGAGTGTGGAATGGGATTGAATTTGGAACGCTGCAACAAAGAGGCCTGACATAAATAATAAAGAAGATTTTAACTGGGACCAGAATCGAACAAGGATAGAGCAAGATGACCAAATCATCCCCCTGATATTGTTTGGAATTTTTTAACTCCTGTACCTTTTTCAAAAATGTGTTCTTTCATTGGATGTGGGTATCATTGGCTAGACCAGCAATTTTGCTCATTCCTAATGAAAGCTGTTGCCTTGAGGCACCTGGATGCGTAAATGAACAGTTCAGAGGGATATGGGCCAAATGCTGGTAAATGGGACTAGATTAATTTGGGATATCTGGTCGGCAGGGATGAGTTGGACTGAAGGGTCTGTTTTTGTGTTGTACATCTCTATGAGTCTGTAAGCACTGCAACTTCCAACCTGCTACCCATCTAGAATGGGCCTAGAGGGAGCTGGCCTACTGCTAGCACCCACTGGGATTCATAGAGTGCTGGATTTTTGCACGCTTGAGTGAAATGCAAGGAGAAATCCATGACAGCAAAGGCCAGATTTCTTTGTAGAACCCGGACATGTGGGGCCCCTGCAGACAAACATCCTGCTCCTGCCCTCCCATAAGGAAAACATAAACACGTTTTTGACTGAGTGAGGTGACTGGTCAGTGCCCGATTCAGCCTCTGCTTAAACTGTCTTTGGGGTCCTAATGATAAAGAGGGTCGGTTAGCTCAGTTTGCTGCATGGCTGGTTTGTAATGCAGAGTAACACCGATAGCATGGATTCAATTCCTACACCAGCTGATGTTACCTGAGCATGTGGTAACCCTCAGGTTAAACAACCAGAAATCCCCTCTCTCTAAGGAGAGAGCAGCCCTATGGCCCAGTAGAACGATGACAACTTCACCTTTATTAAATGAAAGTTGCAAGAATGGTGACTGAATCAGGCATTTGAATTCATGCCTGTTAAAAAGGATCCAGCCAAGAGGGCTCTTGTAGTACTGTGTAGTGTCCCTCCCTCTGAGCAAGGAGATCTAGGTTCAAGTCTCACCTGTACCAGAAAGTGTTTATTTGAACACAATTTAACATTCATGAACAGGGAGAAGTGATGGCCTAGTGGTATTATCACAGGACTGTTAATCCTAGGTAATGTTCTTGGTTTGAATCTCACTAGGTTAGATGGTGGAATTTAAATTCAATAAAAATCTAGAATTAAGAGTCTAATGATAACCATGAATCCATTGTTGATTGTTGTGAAAAACCCATCTAGTACACTAATGACCTTTAGGGAAGGAAGCTGCCATCCTTACCTGGTCTGAACTACATGGGACTCCAGGCCCACAGCAATGTGGTTGACTCTTAACTGCCCTCTGAGCAATTAGGGAATGGGCAATAAATCTTGGCCTGGCCAGTGATGCCCTTATCCCATGACTGAATGAAAAACAAATTGAGTAGAAAATGTAAAGGACCCAGGTAAGATTGGACTGACTTTAAAAGTAGCTATAGTTTTCTGGGATCATTATAATTAAACTCACTCTGTTGCCAGATGGGGTGGGTTAAAGTTACATACCAATGACTCAAATGACCTCCTTCTGTACTGTAAATCTCTATAGTTCATTGATTGTAGCAGAGATAAAGAACATTTGACTCATCAAGCCTGTGTAGAGGTATTTCTAATTCTCTTTGAAAGACATTATGGATTGAATCTCATGCTTTAACCATCATCAGTGTAATTTGTGTCCTCTCATGACAGTCTCACTGACTCATGGAAGTTCCTGTTTACCGTAACGTACCTTCAAGGTCATGCTAATTTTCACAACTCCCATGTACAAGAGTCTTCCTTCTCAAGTCTCTCATAAGTGTAACTCCTTTCATCATAAATCTATGTTGTACATTTTCTTTATCCTTCCTATAAGCTGATTTTCCAAAATGTAGCGCAGGAAGCTCCCACTTTGGCTTATTTGATTGCATACTTGCATTAGGGGATGGTTTCTGTTTCTGATATCACATTCTTTCTTTTCCTCAAAGTCAACAAGGTTCTTGAAGTGTTGACATCAAATATAAATAGTTTTGCTGAGTACCATGTGTACGCAATACTGCATATAGACAGTGACAAAATATAGATTGGGAGTAAACTGTGTTCCATTTCTGAGTTTAGTATTCAGGTTACTCAAACACCATGGGCTAGAAATTTGTTTGGAAATAGCGCATTTGAACTGGTAACATGAAGCTAACCCAAATTTCAGGATGTCAGGCAAATGCCTGATTTCTCCATCCAAGACTGTACAGCGTCCTCAGATTGGGTGGAGATTAATGCAGTCTCCACCATTAATCCTTTCAAAACCATTACCTCATACAACATCTTCCCCCAGGCATTTTTCCCATAGTTAACACTTATATATTCATGTATAAAGTTACATTTACCATTACCCCCATCTCCCATGAAGTATCTAACTTCACAAGTTCGTATGGCTTAGATGTTTCACAATTCTTTGAAAATACATTCTCTTTAGATTTGGAAAATCAGTAGTTATTTGGCTTGAGGACAGTTGAGTTTGATTCTGATTTTGGTCTTGCATAGTCTGTAGACCATGGTGTTCCTCATTGGGTTTGATCTGAACAATCACAATGAGAAAAGGTTATTGCAGAATTGTCTCAAATGTATAGGTAAGATATGATCACTTCCATTTGACTGACCAAGATATTTCTGTTAAGGTCCTTATGCATACCATATCCACGACTTTGGACCAAGTATGGTGACCATTGTACCTGATGGTGTCTATTACGAAGGGTATTTTGCTGCTCCCCATAAGAATGCTTCTTCTTAGAAATATTCGTATAGACCCATGGACAAAAATATGGAGTCAGCCTCTTGGGTAGCATAGGGAATTGAGTCATCAGTTTTCTACCGATCAAAAACTGTAAAGGTGATGAGTCACACTGAAGAGGGGTACACTGCTAGGTTAACAAAGCTGTAGGAAAAAAGACTCTCTTTTCAAAAGAGATCTGCCTGTCTCGACCCCATGCCCAGCTTGCTCATTTGACTGTGGGTAACCTGGTGAGCTGGTTACATGTCCAGATTTTAACTTGCTGGCTAAAAGACTCATTAACAAACTGTGCTGCATCGTCCATTGAGACTCCAGTTGTTTTTCTCACCCTCTGAGCCCTGTCACTGCAGTCTGACAATGCCCGCCATCATGCACACTAAGAACCCCCGCATTGAGGCATGCTGGTAGTCACCGCCAATCACCGCTACTCCGAATGCATCCCATGTGTTCCCAAGCACTATGGGCTCCTCCCGCTTACATTATGTTCTCACCCTGCAACATCTTTGTTCAGTCCGCATCACCAGGCCGCTGCTTAAAATTTCCGGCGTACACCATACTACCCTTTCAATGCCACTGATTACCTTGCTACCCTCCCCCAGCCCCATCTACCACCCAACACAAATTCCAAAAAGGCCCAGTATTGACCATTCCCTGGATTGCCACCACCTCAAACATGACCATGCCCAAGCTCCTGGACTGTAAGCGAAGCTGCCCTTGATGGACTGCAGTCCTTCTTGACTACTCCCCTTCGGCTCTGCAACACGGCCATCTGGTTGCAGTGCATTCAGTGTATTTGCTGTACTGGCAGCTGGCATATGCATTAAGAATGAGATTGACATAGCACTGTGCCATGCAGCAATATGCCCACTCCCTTGACTGATTACAGCTGACAAGCATGACAAACTGCCTGGGTTTGTGCCCATACTAAGCAACAAGGGAAACCATTAAGCTGTGCTAGGGCTACCAAAACACAAAAACGCAAGACAAGACAAGGCAGGGATTCTGTGATCACCCAAGTAAGAGCAAAGTGAATGCAACCTGGTTCAATCTATGAGTGAAATGGTGGCGTCCTTGCAGCAGCATTGCAATGAAACGTGCTATTATTTTTATTACACTGCAAAGGTGTACTGTAAGTGGATTGGAGACATGCCATGATGATATGGAGAGGCTGGCATAGCAGTGGCTACAGGTATCTGTTGATGAGGGTGGTGGTGTCCAAGTCCGAGGGCCAGAGGAGCAAATGGCAAGCTGGAATCGTCAGGAATCCACTTTGACTGTTCTGATAGGAATTCTTGTAGTCTAGTTTCTATCCAGCACGTGGTAAAATAACATACTAATGTGGCTTGTTGCTCCCAATGTTGAAAAAAGCCTTTCTTGATTTCTAATGCAATTCTCCCTAGTTTTAAAGCAACGTTGTTCAGAGCTTTATCAGTTTCCAGCTAAAGACACTCTGTAAAATCAGCTGGTGGTTCTTCCCATGCTCCAAACAGTATTTATCTCTCAAAAAACAGCACTAAGTAACATATCATCTGATCATGATCACAATGTGGTGCTGGATTTTCTGGACTATTCGGTGAAAGGGGGGACGAAAGATGGCTGGTAAAATGGCGGTAGTGGTAGCAGGAGAGAAGCCTTGATGCTATCTTGCCGCAATGCCATTTTACCAGCAGCTAAAAAGTTAACAGCTTGGCTGCCCACTGGGTGGTCAGTTGAGCATCTTCAGTGACCATTAAGGATCAATTGCTGCTGCATGTGGAAATGCCTGGGTGAAAACTGGCAGCCTCCAATGGGGTTCCAGTCAGGGGCCATCCTTTCTGGGCACTCAATCACCCACAAAGGGTGGAGACTCTGGTAGCAATGGTCATGCTCATGGCTATCACTGCTCAATAATGCCCACACCACTGACTGCTAGGACCTAAGTGACCCCAGGCTCTTCAAAGGTGTCATGCCATTCAGGAATTCTTTCCCTGAGGCTACACCTTCAGTACTGCTCATCATGAGCAAAGGGGCTGCTGAATCTTCCTTCCAGTTGAGCCAGGAGATCTTTGGAGTTGGCCTCTTGTCCATCATTGCACAGCAACCAGGCCTTGCTTTCCTAACCGAGTGCTGTGGGCAATATACTTACCTGAGTCGCACTGTCAGGCAAAGCAGGGTGACCTTCCACTTTCAGCCCCTGCAGCAGAACTATACCGTTACCAGCAAAATGCAGCCTGCTGCATGTGAAACTTTGCTGTGTACAAACTAGCCGCTACAGCATCTACATTGCAGCTGTGACTAGACTTCAAAAATATTTTGTTGGCTAAAAAGCACTTTGGACCATCCTGAGGTCATGAAAGACACTGTAAAAATGCAAATCTTTCTTTCTCGTTCTGAGCTGTCAGTGGTTGAGGCTTTCCTCAGGAATATGATTAGTCAAAACTAGCCGTCGATTTTCAATCATCTAGCAACGAGACAAAAAGAGAAAGCCTGTCTCTTGATCACAGAAATGTACATTTTCCTTTCCTGCCTGTAATGGTATTCAGTTATAGGTGGTAAAGTGCTTTCAACGACTCTTTTAGACATACATGGTGTTAGAACATAAGAGCATATCCTCTGTAAATAGCATCAAGATGATAATTCTCTTCTCACTTCTTTCTGCATCTCAAACAGACTCGAATTGCAAAACGCAGCAGAAAGCTCGTTGACTATGACTGTGCACGACATCACTTAGAATCTTTGCAACATTCAAAGCGAAGGGACGATAGTAAGCTCACCAAGGTATGTCAGTAGAATGCATTTAAGTTACTGCTTTGATATCATTCCTCTTGTCATTGAAATGCGAAATTGAAATTTGATATATTTGACATTGAGCTATCAACTAGTGAAATGTTTGAAGATTGGCATGTGTATTGCACCAGATCTATGCAAGAGAGAAGCAGCAAATCGTACAGCTCCCAAAATAAGGGACAAATAGATTTTAATGTAGGCAATAAGAAATGTCCACTTCAGACCAAAATATAATTATTTGGGACATGGGTTTGAGATTTGACTGAAGTATTATGAAACGCCTGAAACTGGTTGCATAGCTGTTAATTTTTCAACATAAATCTGCTGCCACTAACAGCCAGCTTCAATTGTACAAAGAACAATGCCATAAACGTTGAATGAAAGTTAAACTGAAGAGCAACAAAATAGTGACAGACTAATCCCACAGCCATCTTAACCCTTGGAACTATAGGCCTAGTCTGTGTTGGAAAAGAAACCAAAATAAGGATGCGGACAATTGCCCTGAGTTTTAAATAAGTTGTCGTAAGTTGTAAGTTGTTTCAAAACCTTCTTTTGATTTTCAGTGTCATCTGCTTAGCATTAATAAAATGCTTGTGAGGTCTTTAGATTCCTTGATCCAGTAATATTTGCAATGAAAGTAACACCATGTTTAAAATAAATGACGGATATTTTTGATATCTTCTAGGCAGAAGAGGAGTTTCAAAAAGCTCAGAAAGTGTTTGAGGAACTAAATACTGACCTACAGGATGAGTTACCATCATTGTGGTCAAGGTATTAAACTCCATTCGTATATTACGTCTCTTGTTTTATCCCTTATCTGTATATCTTCTAGAAGAAGTCTAAGACTTGAACGCAACCAAGATTGTTGTTCACATCAATGAAAGTGATTCAGTTGTTGCTTCCAACAGCTCAATGTGTACATCATTTAGTTTGTCCTTTAGTCAGAATTCAACATTGTGAGCATGATTTTGAATGGGAGGATGGTGGGGTAATGGTTTGGGGCGGATGGTCTGACAGCAAAAGAAAAACTTGAGTTAACCTAATCTCTTTTAATCTTATTTAAATGCTGCTGGTTGTATTCCTCCCTCTTCGGAATGGAATGTCAGTAAGCATTTGTTTGACTCAAACGTTGCGCAGAAAGCAGGTAATACCTGGATTCAGCTGCTATGTTGTATCATGGAGATCCCTGTGATGATCCAAGATTTCCTTGTGGAAGATGAAGGATTACTGCATTTTTTAAAAAGAAGCTAAACACATCATTTCAAGCCCCTGGTCCTGAGCAACACTGCACTGAGTTTGATTGATAAGAACCTTACTGTCATTTTCTATGCAAACCCCTGAATAAGTTTGCAGCCTGGTCCTGTGGTGTATTGGCCTTGACAGGCATATGTTGCTACCTGTTCACTGGGGCACATTAAAGTAGCACAGTGAGTTTCTGATGGCACCATCGTGGGCATGTAACCTAATCAATTGTAATTACCTATACCTCTCGTTTCTCTGGAGCAGATAGGGTTATTGCTTCCCCCATGGTGAAAGCTCATTGAGACAAAACATTGGGGAACAATGTACGTGAGATAAGTCCTTGCACGTGCTTTTCCACCGTGTCACAGGTCTCAGCCAGATATCTTGGTGTTTCACATTTGCCAATGTTAGAAAAGAGGAACGTAGAAGGAGGGTCACACTGAACTTCACTGTATCATCTCCCAGTGAGTGGACAGAATTAGTGAAATGGGCCAAAAGGTGGTAGATGCCATTTTTATATGTATAAATGTGAGATTATGCATTTGGAGACAACAATAAAATGGCTATTAACATGCAAGGGAACACTGTTTAAGAGTGCAAGCTAAAGAACAGAAATGTTTGACAAAGTCATAAAAGGTAGTAAATAGCATTTTGAACTTCTGAAGCAATATCAAGAACTAACAGAGGTAATGGCAACTGTGTCCTATGCAGTTTGACTATTGTGTTGAGTTTTCAGTGCTCAATTTTGGAAAGGCTTCCAAATCCTTAGAGGATGTACCTTGGGGAGGTATGAGTGTTAATAAACACAATTGCAAGGCAATATTTGAAACACTTGGATAGAGAAGATTGAGAATACTGAAACATGGATTATAAAATTTATGAATGGGTTTGATGGGATGATTAAAGAAAGATTGAACTTGTAGTTAGTGACAATGGATCATCAATTTATATGGAGAGTGAGTGGGAAACATTTACTTATGCAAAAGATTCTTGAAGCATGGAATGCCTTGGCTGATGCAGAAGCCATTCTAACTATTGAAGAGAAATTGGATAAATATTTGAAACATAAGAGAAGGTACAGAGCTATAGGGAGAAGCTGATATATACAGTATTGACTAAATAGTGCTAACCTCCTCTTCAGTTCTGTAATAACAATGAAGGAAAGACTGGAGCAAGTTATCCTTCCCTCCTGCACTACCCCATACCTGACACAGATGACCAGTAGCGTCTTGGACTGCGAAGAAAAAGACATGTAGGAAGATATGGGAAAAGAAAAAATCTCAGAAACATCTCCAAAAATGTAAATGAAACATTCTACTTTTATTTGCCAATCATCCCAATTTGCACTGGGATCCCATGAGTGTGAGGGACTTAAGTGGTTTATTTTTAAAGCCGGTTCTTCCATTAAATTTGCAATGAACTAAATATTAAAAAGTTAAGAGAAGTTGAACTGTTGTATTAATTCAGTAGTTAACTAGCTCCAAAAGGAGCTGTAGCTAGTTAACTAGTGGCTGGTTTAATATGTTTTTTTTACACTTGAGTCAATTGTTTTCAGAAAATGTAACTAGAGGTCTCTCTTAGTGCTACTTTCCTGCACTAAGTGTTTTTATTGTGCAGTGTGTGAAGTGGGAGTTTGCTAAGTATGAGAGAGTTTGGTGAGGGGGATGAAGAAGTGCTCTTTTCTTCTTTTTCAGTGTATTGTAGTTGGCTCCTACTTTGGTAAGGGGGAAAGAAGCTGAATGATGAGGAGTGACAGGTCTTTCTGCATTTCCAATTATAATAGACCGGTCCAAAGATGTGCAGGTTAGGTGGATTGGCCACGCTAATTTGCATCATAGTATCCAGTGATGTGCTAGATAGGTGGGTTAGCCATGAGAAATTCAGAGTTACAGGGATTGGGTAGGGGGTTGGGTCTGGGTGCGATGCTGTTTGGAGGTGTGAACTCAATGGGAAAATGGTCTCCTTCTACACTGTAGGGATTCTATGAGTCTAGAATCTATGGTTCTACAGGTGGGATCTGTACAAGCTGGACAGCTTGCACCTGGGCTGGAATAGTCCAATATCCTTGCTGGGAGGTTTGCTCGTCCTATTGGCAAGGTTTTAAATACGTTTGGAAGGGGGATGAGGCACAGAGTTAATGTAAATTCGGAAGCAAGGCCCATCAGGTACAGAAGGAAGGTTAGGATAGTCCAGGAGGCTGAGAAGCTGCATGGGAGGTCAGGAAAGCTTTTGTAATGAAAGGTGTTTGGCTGGCCAGGTGGATGAACTTGGAACTTTGATGAGCACATGGGAATATGGTATTGTTGCAATCACTGAGAAATGTTTTAAGGAAAAGGTGGACTGGCAACTCAACATTCAGGGTAGAGAAGTTTAAGGCATGGTGGGTGGGGGTTTGTAAGAGAGATAGGCGCATTGCATTATTGATAAAGGAAGCCATCACTGCAGTAATGAGGGAGGATGTCCTAGAAGGCTCTTCAAATAAGGCCATCTGGATGGAACCTAGTAATAAAAAAGGGGTGATCACTTTATTTGGTTTATACTATTGGCCTGTCAACAGTAAGAGTGAGATAGTGGAGCAGATATGCAGAGAAATAGATGTCAGGGATTGCAACTTTGCTAACATTAACTGGGATCACCTTAGTGTGAAAGGATTAGACAGGGTGGAATTTTTAAAGTGCATCCTGGAGAGCTTTAGTGCCAGTATGTAGATAGTCCAACCAGAGATGGGACAGTGTTAGACTTAATCCGAGGGAATGTAGCCAATCAAGTGATTGAAGTGTCAATGGGTGAGCATTTTGAGGATAGTGACCATAACTCTGTAAGCTTCAAAGTCATTATGGAAAGGGCTAAAGATAGTGCAGAAGTGTCTAAACTGGTGGAAGGCCAATTTCAATATCATTAAACAGGACCTGGCAAACACAGACTGGAAGCAGCTACTTGCAGAGAAGTCTACATTTGGAAAGTGGGAGTCATTTAAAAGTAGTACAGAGTGAGTTCAAGGCCAGCGTGTTTCTCTAAGAGTGAAGGGCAAGGACAGCAAGCCCAGGGAATCCTGGATGTCAAGGGATATTGAGAGCTCAAGAAAAAGAAGGAAGCATATATCTGCATATATATCAGCGCATTAAAAACAGGGGAGACCCTTCAAACAGAAAGTGTAGGGGGTTGCTTAAAAAGAAAATTAGGAGGGCAAAGAAGGGCTTTGACAGATAGGATTAAGGAAAGCCCTAAAGTATTTTATATGTATATTAAGAATATGATGATTACCAGGAAAAGAATAGGGCCTATTAGAGACCAATGGGGCAATCTGTGTGTGGTGTCACAGGGTGTGATTAAGATCTTAAGTGAATATTTGTCATCTGTATGAGAGAAAAGACATTGTAGCCCAGGATTTCATTTGGGAGGGTGAGATTCTAGAACATTTTAAGATTAACGGAGGAGGTATTAAAAGCTTTAGTGGACATTAAAGTGCATAAATCCCTAGGATCTGATGAGATGTATCCTAGGAGGGAAGGGAGGAGATCGCTGGGCCCTGGCAGAGGTATTTAATACTACACTGGCCACAGGTGAAGTGCCAGATAACTGGAGAATAACTAAAGTAGTTCCTTTGTTCAAAACAGCAGCAGGGATAGGCCAGTTAATTACATTCCTTCATTAGCTGGAATGGGGAATGTAGGAGCAAGGAAGTCTTGTTACAATGTTATAAAACATTGGCTAGGCCACAGATGGAATACTGTGTGCCATTCTGGTCACCACACTATTGGAAGGATGAAGTTGCACTGGAGAGGGTGCAGAGGAGATTCCCCCTGGGTGTTGCCTTGAATAAAAGGTTTCAGTTATGAGGAGAGACTGAACAGGCTGGGTTTGTTTTCCTTGGCACAGAGGATAGTTTGGTGTTTGTTGGTCAGCATAGACATGCTGGCTGAAGGGTCTGTTTCTATGCTGTTTGACTGTTTGACTCTGTGGCTATAAGGTTATCAGGCAGAATAGAGAAGGAGATAAGAGATGGGGGTGTTGCACTATAGGTTAGGAATCAATCACCAGGTGAGAAGAGAGATGTTATAGGACATAAAGCATCAAATGAGGCCTTATAGGTTAAAGTCAGAAACAAAACAAGGAGCAGCCACATTGCTAAGTATATACAATTTGCCCGAAAATAGGAGTAGAAGGTTAGGGGAGCAAATATATAGGCACTTTTCCGAGTGTGAAATCAATAGGGCAATAATAGTTGGACTTTTCAAATGCCCAAATATCACTACCATACAAGCAATGTCAAAGACACAGAAAGTACAAATGTCTTGAAGTGCATTCAAGAAAACTTTCTTAGCTATCATGTAGCAATTCCAATGAGAGAGGGCACAATTCTAGATTTAGTCTTTAAATATGAAGCTGGGCAGATGAACAAAGTAACAGTGGGTGACCATTTTGGAGATAGTGATCATAATACAGTTAGAATTAGCACCAAGTACCAAGTGGTCTATATATGTAATGATTGGTGGAAGGATTAGGTGGGGCATTAGGAAACGCTTTTTCACCCAGATAGAGTTTACTGCCCAGTTTGGTGGCTGAGATGAAACCCTTAACTTATTTAAAGAGAACCTGGATCTGCTCATTAAGAGCTGTAACCAGCCAGGCTAGAGACGGGATGCTGGAAAGCAGGATTAAATTGGATGGCTGGTGTATTCTGCTGGTGCAGACATGATAGGATAAAGCCTCTCTGCTCCTATGATGCTGCTTGGCCTGCTGTGTTCATCTAGCCCTGCACCTTGTTGTCATAGGATAAAGAGCCTGCTTTGTGCCGTAATGTTTTCATTGTTCCATTGATAAAACTATATTGTGTTTGCTGTGTAGGTGTTCATGATAAAATGATAGAAAGTCAGTTGATACGAAAAATGACACAAACAACTGGGGTTTCCACTAATCTTTCCCCAAAGTTGCAGAATTGTAGTGGGAGATTGGAAGAATCTCCATGTAAATTCTACCAGATTTTGTTTTTTAATTGATACTAAAAGGAAAAAGAGGGTTGGAGGATAAGGTGCAACGTTCCACACTGGTGTTTCTGATATGTCTTTCTTTTTCATCAATTGGGGATTCTCCCCCACAATATTTAACGGAGCCCTTAAATGTGCTTGTCCATTTTCCACGCTTTTTCAGTCGCCCATTCCCCTCCCACTTCGAACCATAATACCTTCAGCTTCCACCTCTAGACTCTTCAATGGATCACTCTTTGCCATTTCTGCCAACTCCAGCATGATGCTGCCACCAAATACCACATCCCCTTCCTTTTCAACATTCTGAAGGATTCTTTCACTTTACAATTTCATGGTTGCCCCCAGTACCCCTCCTTTTCTTAAAATGCCTTTGAATGCAAACACAGGAGTTGCAACCCTGTCCTTTTTACTCCTATCGCCTCACGGTCCAGAATCCCAAACTTTCCTTTCAGGTGAAACAGCGACTTACTTCTTTTTCTGTAAATTATCTACTTTATTCACTGTTTGCAATGCGGTCTGCTCTACAATGATGAGACCAAATGCAGGTTAAGTGAATTCCTTGCAGGACACCTCCATTCGCTTACCAAATGTTATACTGTTTAATTACCTGTCATTTTATTTTACCACTCTGACCTTTTTGTCCTCACCCTCCTGCATTTCAATCTTGCGAAGCAGTGCCTTACTTTTCTATTAATCACTTTCCATCCCTGAGGACTCAATATTGAATCATAGAATTTTACAGTAGATAAGGAGGCCATTCGACCAATCATGTCCATACAGGTTGCCGAAAGAGCTACCAAGCTAGTCCCATTCTCCAGCCCTATTGCTGTAGCCCTCCTAAATTTGTCATTTTCAAATATATGTCCAGCTGTCTTTTGGAGCTTCATATGGATCCATCTCCACCAATCTCCAAGGCAGCATGTTCTAAATCTTAACAATTCTCTGAGTAAAGAGGTTTGACCAATTGGCCAATGCCCCTCTGAAGTCTCTCGGCTTCACTTTCACAATTCGGTATTCTCCCTAGCTTAAAATCATCTGCAAATTTAGAGTTTTTGCACTCAACATCCATCTCCAAATCATTTATATAGATCAAAAAGTAAGGGTCCCAACACCTTCACAGCAAGTTGGGTAATACTACTTTCATCTCATCTCCAATCTGAGTTCAACAATTTCAGACAGGAACATCTGCCTCGATTCAGATTAACATTTTTTTTTTGCTGGATTTAGTCCTTCTCTCTTTTTGCTATCATATGACAGCTGTTCATTAATCTGCCATACACTCCTCCAACTTTTATTTCTCGACTTTTCCCACTGCCTTTGGTCATCTGTGATTCAACCTTTTGTCGTTCAATCTCTGCTTCCTTTCACCCAATCACAATACTTGCCTTTTGTTCTGCATTCTGCCCAACTATTTCTCACTCGCTTAAGACCAATTATAATTACAATTTTCCAGTTTTAATGAAAAGGCCATTGATTTGAAACATTAACAATGTTTCTTTTTCCGCAGAAACAATCTGACATGCTGAGTATTTCCACTGCTCTCGGTTTTTATTACATTATTTGATCTACTTCTATCAAGCCTTGAGATGCAGACGGTGGCGAGGGGTTGGAGGAGGGATGGTGGAGGGGAGATGAAGGCCTAGTGGTATTATTGCTGGACTGTTAATCCAGAGACCCAGATATTGTTCTGGGGACCTGGCTTCGAATCCCACCACAGCAGATTGTGGAATTTGAATCCAATAAATATCTGGAATTAAGGATCATTGATGACCATGAATCCATTGTCGATTGTCAGGAAAAACCCATCTGGTTCACTAATGTCCTTTAGGGAAAGAAACTGCCATCCTTACCTGGTCTGGCCTACATGTGACTCCAAGCCCACAGCAATGTGGTTGACTCTTAGCTGCCCTCTGGGCAATAAATGCTGCCTGGCCAGCGACGCCCTCATCCCGTGAATGAATAAAGAAAATGCCTACTTGTTGTATTGAAAAATCTTTCTCCAATTTAAAAAAGTGATAGAAGAAATGGGGTGAATTTGGAAAGGAAAATCATTGATCTACATGTCTACATTCCCAACGTTCACATTTGGAGTTGAATTTTAACTTCAGGGATGGGTTAGCAGGGAATATTAAGTTGGGCATCAGTCACAGAGGCAACTTTCTGGGCACCTACCTGCCTGTTCCCTCCACCCCAACCAGAATTTTACTTGTTTGGGTGGAGATTTGATGGTCACTGGGATTTAGTTCATGAGTGATCAGAGGCTGGAGCTAAGTGTAAGGCTCAGCAGCATTCACTGCTCAGGCTGGTGGCAGGCAAGCAGGTGGAATTTTACTTTCCAGAATACCTGGGCCCAGTGGAGGCTCCATCAGCTCCCAGCATCTGCAACTCCCTTCCTTCCCCACTCCACCCCCAAACACTGTAGTCCCAGAAATGGTCATCACTCCCAGTGATGCTGCTAGGGATTGAAAAATACTGACCACATGTTTCAACGGCAGCTTTCAGAGGCAGAACCTCCCTCCTGATGCAGCAGATCTGACACCCAGAGCCAGTTAAAGACTATTTCGCCATGATCAAAACCTCAGAGCTCCTTTGCTAGCACAATTGTGGGTGTCCATGCACCCCAAAGACTGCGGTGCTTCAAGAAGGCAGTTCCCAATGACTTACTCAAGGGCAATTGGGGATGGGCAATAAATGTTGGCCTAGACAGCGACATCCACACTCCATGAACAAATAAACAAAATTTCAATAGCTGTGAGCCAGGAATAAATGAATGAATGATTTTCATTGTCGTGTGTATTTTATAATGAGAAAATTAGTAAAATACAGAGAAAAGCTTTTCCACTGTTGCCATGATCTGGTACCATTTTGAATAGTTTAAGAATAAGGAAGAAAAAAGAAAGATACAGCTTAATGAGAGTCCATTAGTGCTGAGCCAGCTCATCGTTCACAACGCCTGCATCACCATCCCTCCTCCAACCCCTCGACACCATCTGCATCGGACCCAACCAATGCTGAAGACGCCACTCTTCAGGTGCCATCTTTCACTGCTGTGCCGATTGTCCTCCTCCACTGCATTGCCATTGCCTGCGCTGGACCCACCGACATCATAGTTGCTTCTCTCACTGCTGGGCACACCTCACCGATATCATCGTGATGCCCCTCCGCCACAGCTTCCCCACCGCCAGCACCGGACCCAAACAAATTTCAAAATCGCCAACCCTCAGGTGGCATCTTTCACCACTGGGCGTCCCCCTGTACTGGCCTGTAGCGAGTGGGAAATCTTCAGACTCAGAAAATTTTTTTAAATTCTTTTTATTAAGATTTATTGAACTGAAAGATATAAAATGCTCAGAAAATGTGAGTTTCAGAAAAAAGCAGGCCCACTCACGTGAAATACTGTAGATGCTGGCAATTTGAAATAAAAATACAAAGTTCTCAGCAGATCTGGCAGCACCTGTGGAGACAGAAACACAGTTCACGTTTCGGGTTCTGTGTGACTCTTCTTCAGAAATGAAGAACAGACATGTCAGACGCAAAACTTCATTTCTATTTCTCTCCCCGCAGACACTGCCAGGCCTATTGCATTTCTTCAGCACCTGTTTTATTAGAGCAGGTTCAACCCTGACTTTTCCAATTGTGGGAATGGGGTGTTGGAGGAATCCAGTCACAGTATTAAACCCAGCCTTCAGTGCGTGTGTGAAGGCCTGTGTGGAGCTGGAGGAACACAGCAGGCCAGGCAGCATCAAAGGAGCAGGAAAGCTGACGTTTCAGGTCGGGACCCTTCTTCGGAAAATCAGAAAATTTTCTGAAGAAGGGTCCCGACCCAAAACGTCAGCTTTCCTGAATCAAAACCCTTTCATAAACGAGAAATTTCAATACATCGCCACTGTAAAATAAAAATGGTTAACCAGCTTTCCTGCTCCTCTAACACTGCCTGGCCTGCTGTGTTCCTCCAGCTCCACACTGTGTTATCTCAGACTCCAGCATCGGCAGTTCTTATTATCTCTGTGAAGGCCTGTCTTTGGAAGGCTAAAGTCAATATCAATGGTTCGCTCCATATTGAAAATCACATGATATGGTTTCATTTCTTTTATGTACAATTGAAATAAGAAGATGAGCTTCGCTGACCAGTCATGTTTTCTCTTACAGCCGAATTGGTTTCTATGTCAGCACCTTCAGAAACATCAGCTGTATAGAGTCAAAATTTCACAAGGAGATTGCAGTGGTGAGTAGACTTTGCCTCAGATACACTGAGGGCGAGACGGGTACTGAAAGAGCTGCTCTGTGTTTGGCCTTTTGCTAATTTGACAGATATTAATAGCTTGTTTATTCAGCCTCCCTTACCAGTTGAGGTCAATGCATTTTTTACACTATACACGAACGCTGATGTAACCAAGATATGTTTTGAAATATGGAAGGAATTTTCATCCTTTGTCCCTCCATTTGTCGCTCTGTTGAGTTGCCCTTGTGCCATTACTATCAAAATGATCCAACAGAGACAGAAAGAGAGCACGAGAGCAGTCTGACCCACCATCAGTATGATAAGGGAGTTGAAGGGTGTTGATGAATACAGTGGTTATAATGCCCTCTATCTCAACTTTCATTTAACTAATATATTGTCATGTGATTTGAGTTCAAAAGTAGACATGTCTTACTACACTAATACAGGGCTTTGGTAAGACCAATCTTGGAGTAATGCAGGCAGTTTTTATCTCTGGACCTAAGAAAGGATATAGTTGCCATCGATGGATTGCAACAAAGGTTCACTAGGCTGATACCAGAAAATGGCAGGGCTGTCCTATGAGAGAGATATTCCTTCTACTGGGTCTGTAGTCGTTCGGGTTTAGGAGAATGAGAGGGGATCTAATTGAAATTCTAACGGGGTAGATGCAGGGAAAATGTGTCCTCTAGTTGGGGAATGTAGAATCAGTGAGACAATCAGGATATAGAGTGAGCCATTAGGACTGAGGTGAGGGTGACCATCGTACAGAGTTCACTGGCACAGATGTTGGGTGTGGGGTGGGTGCCGGGTCACTAAGTATATTCAACAGAGCGATTGATACATTTTTAGGTATTAAAGGGGCATGATGAGAAGGAAGGAATAAGGCATTGAGTTGAGAATTAGCCATGTGGGTTGGCAGAGCAGGCTTGAAGGGCTGAATGGCCTACTCCTGCTCCTTGTTTCTTTGTACATTAGATTACTGTTTTTTATTTCCCAATTCTTTCTCCTACACACCACAACTAACAGCCTAGGTTTCAGCAGGTCATGAAAGAAGATGTCTTTGACCTTATTTGCTAACAACAGAGGCTACAGTGTGGGGTTTATAGGGTGGTTTGTTGGATGGTGAAATTACAGATAGTGAGATTACATGAAATAAGCTAATGACATGTTAATTGCACTTCAAATGAGGAGCATGTAGCTACTTGGACAATCTGAATTTGCTCTTAATATATCAGAAGTGGTGCCTTCTTGCAATTGATTCTTATGGTAATGGACAATGGTAAGTGCCATTTAACTACTTTAGTTGATATCCAGGAAAATTTGGATGATGTAAATGGTGGGGATTGTAAATGCTTGCAGCTTTGATTCATTGATCTTGTTGTGGACACAATCAGTTATGTAGTTGTTACAGTATGTGGTCTGTTAGTTATTTGAAGACCTAATGTAATACAACTAGGCAATTAATTGAATGTGGATATTGTTAATCTACTCATTCAAGTTTATAGTAGCAATGTGGTAACCTTAGATGTTAATACTGCACCACATGGATGAGATTTTTCTGTCCTTAGAGGGGGCTATAGTTACAGGTTCTCCTTAGGTAAATTCTGCACTTTGACTACAGAATGTTCGGCAGGTCCAGTTCATGCAGGGTATTCTGTAATTGGTTAAGGAGCAAGGCTGGTAAAATTGGAGGAATCTTTTGATTGTAGGATCAAACTTACCTTTTTAATTTGAACATAGGAAACACGAACTATATAATGGTCAACATGTTACATTTGCAATGAGGCTGCTAGAAGGAACCATTTCCTTGTGGCCACGTGATCTTCCATCATGGTGACCTTATATAGATTTATTAAATCATGAGGGTCATGGATAGGGTGAGTAGGTAAGGTCTTTTTCCCAGTGTGCACGAGTCCAAAACTAGAGGGCATAGGTTTAAGCTGAGAGGGAAAGATTTAAAAGGGACCTAAGGAGCAACTTTTTCACACAGAGGGTGGTGCGTTAATGGAATGAGCTGCCAGAGGAAGTGGTGGATCCCGGTACAATTACAACATTTAAAAGGCATCTGGATGGGTACATGAATAGGAAGGGTTTAGAGGGATGTGGGCTTGCGAATATGACTAGATTAATTTCAGATATCAGTTCAGCATGGACAAGTCGGACCGAAAGGTCTGTTTCCGTGCTGTACATCTCTATGACTCTTTGACTTCCCAATGATGATATAAACTATATTTTGTTTACATATTCACATGAACCCTTTATACATAAAAACATATGAATTAGGGGTGGAAGGCCATTCAGTATCTCAACCTTGCTCAGTTACATAATAGGATCATGCCTGATTTCACCACTCTGCATTTCTGCCTACCTCAGTTAACCTTTCACCTCCTTGCTTATTAAGAGTCTGTCTAGCTCTGCCTTAAAAATAATCAAAGGCTGTGCTTCCACTACCTTTTCTGGAAAAGAATTCCAAAGAATCATGACTCTCTGAGAATAGAAGTTCACCTCATCCCTGTCTTGACTCTCTTTGGTTTTAAATAGTGATTCCTATTCTAGACTCTCTTGTGATGGTAACAAGGTCAGCCAGGGTGACCTCATAGAATGTGAGTTCCCTGATTGGGGCTGTTAATCTGGTCCAATTGGGGAGCCCTGGCTAACAGATAGAAACAGGAGTGTCAGACATGCTGTTCACTCTGAGAGCTGGCTCTGAGGAAGCTGTGTCAGTGTCAAGGACTGTCCGCATGTAAACAAAGGGTGACTTGATGATGGGATACCGGCCTCTGTGGAGTTATTTCAGACTTTTTCTCTGAGGCTGGTCCTCTGTACCACATAGTGCTGATGAGACTGGGTTGTTAAGTATATACGAGGTTGAGATAGACATATTTATAATCATTAAGGTAATCAAAGGTTATGGGATAAATGAAAAAGTGGAGTTGGAGATTATCAGATGACCTCATTGAATGGCAGATCGAGCTTGGTGACCTACTTCTGCTCCAATGTCTTATGATCTTATGGTCCAATAGGAAACATTCTGTCAATGTCTATGCTGTCAAAGTCCCTCAAGATCTTGTATGTTTGAAATAAGTCACCTCTTACTCTTCTTAACTCCAGCAGATACAAGCCTAGCCAGTCCAACCTTTCCTCAGAAGACAACCTGCCCATTCTAGGTATTCATCTAGTAAATCTCGTCTGAAATTTTTCCAATGAATTTACATCCTCCCTTAAGTAAGATCTAACTCATACCGTACACAGCACTCCAGATGTGGTCTCACAATGCCCTGTATAAAATGTAGCATAACCAGCCCCCCTGCTTTTGTATACAATAAAAAGTAACATTCTAAGAGCTTTCCATTTACTTGCTGTACATCCTTTGTAATATTTTTTCAATCCATGCACTAGAATGTCCAAATCCCTCTGCAAATCAAAGCTCTACAGTCGCTCACCAATTAGGTATCATGATTTTTTTTCAATCTTTCAGCAAAAATGGACAATTGCACTTTTTGCCACATTATACACCATTTGCCAAATCTTTACCCACGCACTTAACTCATCTATATCACTTTGTACTACATAGGGCAGGTGGGAGGCAGTTCAATGGTGAGTCAAAGCTGATACTGGGCTGAGAACCCAACGATGCTGGTGATCTGAAGGAATGATCCCGCATGAATTTCCTGCTGGGATTGGGGCTTTGGAAGGAAGCAGTGAGACATGAGACGTGGCTCAACAACTTCAGTGGTCAAAGCCATTCCCAGTACTGCATGCAACTCACTACAGTTGCAGTTAATATTTGCGGGATTCACTATATGACAAACATACAGCCAAAGCCGCTTAGTACAGTTTCCAGCCCCTTGGTGTTCTGTGGCCGGAAAGACATAGATGGTGGCCTTTCCCTACAGGTGTTGGTATTTATGGGATAATGTTTCTGTGAAACGACCGATCAGTGTACTCTCTGGCACTTTAGAGCACACCATTGTGCTCAACGGTTTGGGAGAGGGATTGCGAACACATTTATGTCAAGTCGTCAAGTGATACGTAGCATTCAGAGCTCAGCGATGAACACAATGATGAGTGAGTGACAGAATCCATGCCTGACATTTATTAAATTTGTTGATTCCTCACATCAGTGTGAAAGCCCCCTGGCTCACAGCACTGCATCTTTATTCACAAATGACTCTTGCTGCACCCTTTTTATTTCAGGTGAAACCCAGTGAGGTCACTACTGACTCTCCAGTGTACTCTGTGTTCCCCTGAGCATCGTTGTGCTAATTCTGGTGGGTGGGGTTGGGAAGCATACTTCGCTGGGGCTCTTAGGCACATACCCCATAGGCCTGTACATTAATTCACTTCTCACACCAGTATCTCAATCTCCCGACTAGTTCCTGGCTAACATTTTTGACAATCAATGGCCTTGAGTAAAGAAGTTCTTTGTATTACCTGTTTTAAATGTACTTTTCCAGCAACTTATTTTGTCTGGTGCATTCTATATCCTTCACCTACTATGATGTAATATTCTGGGCTTGTCATTTAATCATTTGCACACCTTAATGAAGCTTCTCTCCTCTCAAGGTGTTCTCTGCTGATCTCTCTAACATTTCCTCAGAACTCACCTCCTCAGTGCTAAAGATTATTCTTGAATATTTAATGGATCATTATCCATCATTATTCCAAGTAACTTTGTTCTATTTCTCACACCTTGTACAGACAGCAGTACAAATTATTTGCATTAAAAAAAACATTGAAAAGTATAAGTAAAACGTTGAAATATATAATGTGATTTGAAGCTGAAATAAAACTTTGTCAGACTGCAGTGTATATCAGGGATTTCACCAGTGAATATATCTAATCCCTGGCTCTCATCATTCTTGGACCCATTGACCTCAATGCCGGAATATACTCTCCTGTTGCTCAATGCACTGTGTCCTAAAATCTACATTCTTTTAATCTCTATATTTCTATATTTAATCTCTATATTTCCTCTATTTAAAGAGGAATCCTTTATAAAATGAATGGTATTTGCACTTAATTAACTGAACAATAGATGGGCTTCTGCAGGGAGTAAGCATCTAGTAGCAATTACACTCTGATGTTTCCTTGTGTTATTCATTGATGGAATATATTGAGAGTCTAGAACTAAGAATACCTGCTCGTGACACTTTGACTGTTTATGTCACACATGTACCTTTCTGTTTTCTAGCTGTTTCACAAACTCTATGAAATTATGAGTAAACTCGGAGAGCAGCATGCTGACAAAGCATTTAGTATCCAAGGTGCACCAAGGTATCGTATGTATTGAAAACTTAAATCCATCAATGCCTCGGTTTCAAATAAATTTGCACAACCTTTTCGACAAACTTAGACGACTGTTTTACATTCAGAGAACAAAGAACAAAGAACACCACAGCACAGGAACAGGCCCTTCAGCCCTCCAAGTCTGCGCTGACACGTTTTGCCCTTCCATACTAAAACAGTCTTCACTTACAGGATCCATATCCCTCTATTCCCTTCCATTCACATATTCGTCCAGGTGGTTGTTGAATGCTGCTATTATGTCTGCTTCCATAATCTCATCTGGCAGCGCATTCTAGGCACTCACCACCCTTTGTATGAAAAACTTGCCTTGAACATCTCTATTAAACTCCACCACCCTCCCCTACCTCAGCACCTTGAACCTGTGCCCCCTCGTAATTGACCCCTCCACCCTGGGAAAAGGCCTCATACTTTCCACTCTATCTATACCATTCACAACCCTATAAATTTCTATCAGGTCATCCCTCACCTCCTGCATCTCAGTGAAAATAAATCCAGTCTGTCCGACCTTCCTTCATAGCTCAAATCCCTCATACCAGGCAAATTCCTGGTAAACCTTTTTGTACCCACTCCAAGGCATCCACGTCCTTCTGGTGAGATAGTAAGAACTGCTGATGCTGCAGTCTGAGATAACACAGCGTGGAGCTGGAGGAACACAACAAGCCAGGCAGCATCAGAGGAACAGCTGACGTTTTGGAAGAGTCCCGACCCGAAACGTCAGCTTTCCTGCTCCTCTGATGCTGCCTGGCCTGCTGTGTTCCTCCAGCTCCACACTTTGTTATTACATCCTTCTGGTAGTGTGGTGACCAGAACTGTATGCAATATTCCAAAGTGTGGCCTTAACTAAAGTTGCACATAAGCTGCAAAATAACTTGCCTATCCTTATGCTCAATGCCCCTTCCAAGCATGCCATAAGCCTTTTGTTACTACTTTATCTCCCTGCACAGCCACCTTCAGTGATCTGTAGACCTGTACACCCAGATCCCTCTGCATATCAATACTCCTAAGGGTTTTGCCATTCAGTGTATAATTGCCACCTGTACTGGACCTTCCAAAATGCATTGCCTCACATTTGTCTGGATTAAACTCCATCTGCCATTTTTCTGACCATGCCTCCAATTTATCTATAAGCTGCTGTATCCTTTGACAATCCTCCACACTATCCGCAACTCCAGCAATCTTTGTATCGTCTGCAGACTTACTAATTAGACCAGCTACGCTTTCCTCCAAATCATTTATGTAGACTATGAACAGCAGAGGTCCCAGCACTGATCCCTGTGGAACACCACTAGTCACAGCCCTCCACTCCACCGCTACCTTCGGTCTCCTATGACTAAGCCAGTTCTGTATCCATCTTGCCAGCTCACCCCCTGATACCATGTGACTTCACCTTTTGTACCAGTCTGCTATGAGGGACCTTGCAAAATGCTTTACTGAAGTAGACAACATCAACTTCTTTTCCCCCATCAATCATCTTCGTCAACTCCTCAAAAAACTCAATCAAATTAGTGAGGCACCACTTCCTTGCACAAAACCATGCTTTCTATCACTGATAAGTCCATTTGCTTCTAAGGTGCATATAGATCTTTTCCCTGAGAATCTTTACCAACAATTTCTCTACCACCGACATGAGGCTTACAGACCTGTAACTTCCTGGATTATCCTTGCTATCCTTCTTAAACAATGGGACAGCACTGGCTATTCTTCAGTTCTCCTGGGACCTCACCTGTGGCCAAAGTGGATAGAAGTTCCCCAAGAAAGTGGATTTTGTAAATCTAGAGGACGGTAGCTTTAGTGTAACCCTTGCACCCAACAAGAAACTGGTTGGATCAGACCAAGCCTCCAGCTTTTCGCCTGCTCAATTTTACTTTTCATTTATGCTTAAATTTCTTGCTCACACTACCCTCTAATGACAGTCTTTTTTTATTACTAGATACCACTGAGGGAGTCTATTTCTTTTTGAAAACCTCATATTTATTGGTATTATTTAATTGTGTGGAGTTTGGTTAGCTCAGTTGGTTAGATGATGCAAGTGTGTGCGAATAAAGCGAAGAGCACAGGTTCACCCCAGCTGTGGTAGACCATGAAGGTCTACCATTTAGTTACACATCAGTTACAATCTGATTGAATGCTGCAACAGGCTCAAGAAGCTGAATGGCCTATTCTTATTCCTTAATGACCATGTAATTGAGTGTTCAAGTCTTCCAGGAAAATTAGGATTAATATTAATACACTAAAGTCACATGCAATATTAATATTGTAGGTAGCATTAATCTCAGGATTTTCACTATGTTTGAGCCTGAGTTCTGAATCCAGATTATCAATATAGAACAATACAAAGCAGAGGGGTAAAGGTCTCCCCTGCAGGGTATAATCTGTTGCTGTAAATGTCTGGATGTCATACGCTATAATGGTTCAGCAAAATCCCTTGAAATGGAGGTCTTGAATCTCACCTCCCAATAACAGGCCTCCCTTACTCTCTTAAAGATAAAGGAAGAATTGCTTGCATGTTGAAAGATAGATAGTCCCATTTGCAGCTTTAGTTTAATATTAGTGCTCATGCAATCCCATCATCTAGTAAATAAATGCATGACTTTGGACAGTCTCCTGTGGGGAGAATGTTAACTCTACATCAAGGCAATAGAGACTGTACATGTGTAAGTTTCACATCAGAAGTGTTTTGGGGAACTTTTAAATGCAGTAGTATGTTTGAATGTTGCTACATGTTTAGGTGTATGTTCGTGTATATGTGAGCCTGTGTGTTTGTGCATGCAAATGTATCTGAAACCTGAATACACTGTATGCACAGTTGTATGATTCAAAGTTCACGGTTCTCCACCTAATCCAGGTGCTACATTAACAAAATCCTGCATTCCATCACTTTTGCAAAACTGTCGATTAATATACTCAAACTATACTGTACTTGACCAAGCCTCAGGACACCTTCATTGTTAGCTTGTTAACATGCTGCATGTATATCAATGGCCCATGCCTGTTCTCTAGGAGGAGGCATTGCATCAGCGGATGATACAACAGAATTGAGAAGTACATGATTTAATTACAAAACAAGCTGTTTAACCTCAGGATTGCTGTCTGGATTAATGTTCCAAACTATTTACATTTTCATCTCCATCTCAGAATAATGATGATGTCTGCAAAATGTGGGTCTGACTCCTGCTTTCTTTTGCAGATAAAAAAAAAACCCCAGTAAGACTCCATGATGGACTATAATAAGAGCTGTGGAAGGAGATTAAATGGATGGAGTAGAATCAAGTAAACAGTTGAGTGTATACAGGCTGCAGAAAGGAGTCTAAGCGGGTGGAGTAGACACTGACATAGTGTAATATGCATGGGTTATGAAATGAGTTTAAATGATAGGGATAGCATCCGTAAAAGGATAGATTATGTATGGTCTGTGGAAGGAGCACAATTGGTTGTGGCAGCATCTGCAATAGGGTCAGGTGTACACATCTGTAGAAGGAGGTTGGAGATGAGTGTCCGGAGGGTGTGAAAAGAGTGGGTTTGATTGAAAGGGCCATTCTTAATGCTTGTTTTGCTATTTTCTGTTATTGTTTAGTTACCGTTTCTGTAAACCTAATTTAATTACTACTGGATTCTTGACATTGAAGTGATCTTTAAGCAATCTCACTGAAGGGTGTTTTATGTTTTAAATGATTGACAGTTGGATATTATGAAATGTTTGATATTATTTCACACTGTTTTTTGCTACTGTTGACAAAGGAGATGGAGGTAGGATTGAAGTGTCTATCTGACATAGATGGAGTTGTAGTACAAATGATTAGATTTTGATTGTAGCTAGGAATACTAAATAATGTGAGCTTTAGATCTGCTGTGAGGCTTAATCTTGGTCTTCTGCCTAAAAATAAAATGAAGCAAAATTATTGCCAGCTGGTAAATCCTATCAATGTTTGATATTGTCCCTGCTGATTGTTATTGTCAATCCACGTGTATTTGTTTGATGTCTGTTGTTGCTCTTCGTGCTTAGTTATTGCATTTGTATAAATAGCTAACGCCTTTATAATTAGGCTAATGTAATTCCTGCTTATGTTTTAGAATTAAAAAGCAGATAGTTTAAATATAAAGCAAGCAATATGAAACAAACTTTTCAACCTCAGGATTGCCTTCTGGATAAATGTCCCCAAACCATTTGCACTTTATCTCCATTTCAGGGTAAATGCTGAGAATACAAATATGTATTGTAGCTGCATTTTCAAGGGAAAGTTGCTAGCACTGTGTGATTTATCGTTGCAGTGAAAGTTGAAGCTTTAATTTTAATTTGAATAACACTTCACATAGCAACAGCACAAGTCCTAGAAGCTTGTGTGCAGAGTGTTTGGCTGGTGAATGGAGGAAGGAAGCACAGTTTAGGTCTAGATTTGTGTTTAGAACAAATGTTTCTGCAAGTGTTGAATCTTCTTTTAGTATCACTAGTTAATTTATGTTGTACGTTCTGTTGTCCTGTTACAGTGACTCGGGCCCATTGAGAATTTCCAAGACCCCAACACCACCAGAAGAACCATCTCCACCCAGTAGCCCAGTGACCAGTCCTAACCATAGTTTAGCACCTTTAGCAGCATCACCAGCTCATACTCCGAATCGTCTCAAGTCACCATCTCAGGTAAAGTTCAAAAAAAGAACAGAAATGCTAGGGATGCCAGATTCAGGTATAGTGCAGTTGTATTTAATGGAATAGGCAAACCAAACATTTTCTTCTTGAAATGTAACTTCTTCCTTGTGCTGAGACTTTTATGCATAGGTAAGTTTGAACCATTGAAAAGTGCTTTAAAGGGTTATAAAGAATGGACGTCGAAGTAGTGAGAACAAGGGACGAAAATGTATGTGCAAATATGTAAAATGTTGCAAATGCACTATTCATGCAGTGCCTGTAAGGCATATGTTTTTGGTGCAGGAGTCTTGATAAATTTTAACACTTCATTTATGTGGGACAAATGCCTGATGCCACTTTTCTGCATTCTCTGCCTTAGTATTCATAGACTCAGTAATCCATTTCTGTAAGTAGTGACAGCAAGTGACCTAGTCCCTTTCCTGTTTATGCACCTGGGCCTTTTGTATAGTCCACACAAAAAATCTGGGCCCGCGTAAGCCTAAATGATCTACTTATAGGCAAGGAAACGAGGCCAGTGGCATACTGGATTCAAAAATCCCAGAGAAGTGCGGGCTTGGATTTTAAGGTAATCTATCTCCTCATTGGAACAATTCCCAATATTTGGGAACATTGACACCTTTACACAGCCCATAAACATAGGCCAACTCTCAGCAGGCGTGGCTTCCACTTCTATAGACCAATAGAACCCCTACAGTGTGGAAACAGGCCATTCGGCCCAAAGGGTCCACACTGACCAAGCCTCCGAAAAGTATGCCCACCCTGACCTATCCCCCTCTGCATTTCCCATGGCTAACCCACCTAGCCTGCATATCCCTGAACACTACGGGCAATTTCCCACGGCCAATCCACCCTGACCTGCACATCTTTGGGCTGTGGGAGGAAACTGGAGCACCCGGAGGAAACCGACGCAGACACAGGGAGAATGTGCAGACTCCACACAGACAGTCGCCCGAGGGTGGAATCGAACCTGGGCCCCTGGTGCTATGAGGCAGCAGTGCTAACCACTGGTCCTCTAGATTGATTGGAATCCCAGGCAGTTGAAGAACTTGCCCCGGCCACAATCCCTTTAAAGTTGTCGTTCAATGAGGGGACCAGCTGACCCAGTAGTTTTGTACCCACCCCATAACAACGCCAACAGACCACAGTTCCATCCCAAAATATGACCATCATAAACTGTACATCTTACTGCCCCACTAACATTTTCAGAAACACTCTCCCCACCAAATGCAAAACTACGCTAAAATTGATCAAGTTATTTACCTGCGAGAATAGCTACTCAGGGGGTGGGGTCCTTTATAACAGGCTATTGATGTGATCAGGATCTGAATGCAATTTTGACTCATTGGTGTGATCAGGAAGCAGCAGTTAGCTTCCTACCAGTGATGGCAACATAGCTATGACTTAGAGGCAATGGCCTAGTGGCATTATCGCTGGACTGTTAATCCAGAGACCCAGATAATGTTCTGGGGACCTGGGTTCAAATCCTGCCATGGCGGATGGTAGAATTTGAATTCAATAAAATATTCTGGAATTAAGAATCTAATGATGACTGTGAATCCATTGTTGATTGTCAGAAAAACACATCTGGTTCACCAACATCCTTTAGGGAAAGAAATTGCCATCCTTACCTGGTCTGGCCTACATGTGACTCCAGACCCACAGCAATGTGATTAACTGCCCTCTGGGTAATTAGGAATGGTCAATAAATCCTGCCTACACAGCGATGCCCTCATCTTGTGAATGAATAAAGAATAAAGAGACTGGGGACAGAAGCTTGAAACCAAAAAAGCTCTGTCCCAGAGGCTGGACCCTGCCAACAGCTGGACTCCAAGCCACATGATGTCCTGCTTCTTCCATCAGGACTGTTGTGAAATCAGTCAGTAGGATTAAAACGTGGCCAGCAATTTCGAATATTCCGGATCTCATAAATGGGAGGACAATTAAGTAAGTTTTGTTTGTGTTCCTGCTCAAAAACTGTCCATCTGTGTATAATTGTGGGCCCGTTGAAAATATTGAGTGCTGGAAGTGCCTCTTCTTAAGATCTATTCCACAACTCGATTAAAATAGAAGGACAGGAAGTCCAACCCTTCAGTCCACGTATCCTCACAGTCAAGTTTCTGTTAGATTTCAGGATCTGCGAGCTTTGTTGTTTCTCTCTGTGTCAGTCTTGTTTTCATTCCTCTCTCTGTTTTATTTCTCCTTTCTCCCTGCTTTTTCTAGCTCAGAAAAGGCCCTCCAGTTCCACCACCTCCGAAACTCACCCCAACAAAGGAGCTGCACCAGGAAAACATTATCAACTTCTTTGAGGACAACTTTGTTCCTGAGATCAATGTCACCAGCCCATCACAGGTCAGTTGACTTTATAGCTATACATTTTACTCATGTCTACAAGGTTTATTTCATGGAAGACATGAAGGACAAGTGTAGGCCAAGGGCATGCGAGCACACATTACTTACCCCTTTCCAGTGGCAACAGAGGCTACATAGGAGACTAAACTTGTCACTGTTTCAGAAAAGAATACGAAATGTATTCAACGTTTGCTTTTATTAACTGTGTATACTATTCACAAAGCTAGTTGGGTGAAAGAAAAATATTATGTTTGTATATTGGCTTTCTTAACTCCTGCATATCTCAATGCACTTTACAGCTAATAAAATACTCTTCAATTTTAGCCATGATTATAATTTACGGGGAGATTGCTGCACAGCCAAGTTCCACAACTGCAATGAGGTGAATGACCAGATACCTGTTTTGTGAGATATTGGTTGAGGGATAAATGTTGGCCAGGACAACAGAGAGGAACTCCTCTGCTTTACTTCACCTTGTAGTTGTGGGAACTTGAATGTCCACTTGATCAAGCAGACTGGACCTCAGTTTGATGTCTCATCAGTAAAACAACAATCCCTCAGGACTTCACTGAGGCATCAGTCTAGATTGCATGCTCAAGTGGTCAATCCTGGAAACCTCTACCTAACAAAGTTATGGGAATACACGTCATCGACCATGATTTAAGAAGAATGCTTGTCGCAACCTTTTATAGGGAAAGGTTATAAATACTGGCCTTCCCAGCAACATCTACAACCTGCAAATGATTTCTTTTATTGTTCTGATCTAGGGCACAAACCCACAACCTCCTAACTCAGAGCAAAGACCACTCACATTGATCCAAGCCTGACACCTACATAGTGTCTGGGAATCATGTCAGTGTGTAATTTTTACATTGCGCTAACTACATTCTAGATTACGTATTTTTAGTTAAAGATGCAAAGCACTGGGTTTACAAAGTACTTGAAGCTGGTTTATTTTGCCCTGTAAATTCAGCATTATTGGCTTAACTTTTCATGTTTAGCGTTCAGGCATAGTCCTTCTGTGGCAGGAAATCTATGGGCTTGCATTGCTCATGACGTTCAGTTCAATATAGTAACATAATCGTGGGTAGTATATAGAAAATCAGCAAGAAAATTCTAACATCCAGACCCTAAGGATGTACATCCGAGTCAACGTAAGGCAAAAATTCCCACAGATTCCTGAAAAGAAAATTGTCCTGTTTGGACCTCAATGATACATGGCAGATACTTGACAAGGGGAGGTGATGGTCTAGTGCTATTATCGCTAGTGACCCAGCTAATGTTCTGGGGGCCCAGGTGCAAGTCCCACCATGACTCTTAGAATTAAGAGTCAAATGATAACAGTGAATCCATTGTCAAGTGTTGGGGAAAAACCCATCTGGTTCACTAATGTCCCTTAGGGAAGTAAACTGCCATCCTTACCTGGTCTGGACTACATGTGACTCCATACCCACAGCAATATGGTTGACTCTTAACTGCCCCCTGGGCAATTAGGGATGGGCAATAAATACTGGACTAGCCAGTGACACCCCGCATGAATAAAAAAATGAATAAAATGAATAAAAATGAATAAAAAAAAATTTGAAGTGTCTGCTCAAAAGTGTGAAAAGTTAGCCAATTACATTCTGACTCGTTTGATATTCAATCAAGTTCGCAGCTCGGCGTTCTTACTATTTTCAAACTTTCTGTGCAATTTTAGACTGCGTTTCTCAGCAAAGATTCATTTGCCAAATAGATGGGGGAACACAGTCCTGAGAATGATTTTGCTAAAAATTAACATTCAGGGCAGAATCCTTAATGCAACACATGCACATTCTGGTGTTTCAGTGGTTGGCACTAATAGCTGTTCTGCAGTGTTTATGTTCTTATTCACGTGATCCATCTTAAAGTAGCACATTCCAAAGTCTGAGTATGATAAACTTCTCCCACCAGTTCATCTGAAGAAAGAGTGTGTTTGCACAAGCATTATACCTTTATATTATTACTATTGCCCAAGGGGGCAGGGCAGGGTTGTATGAGCCCTTAAGGACCAAATGCTGTTGGTTTTCTCCAAAGGTTGTCTGTGACATGAAGGAGAAACATGGTCATGTTTAAACACCTCTTTGCTCAGCAAAAACTAGTTCAAGAGTTGAGGGAAGAACGAAAATTCGAATGAAGTGTGTAAATTACCATGCTCTGTTAGGATTTTAACATTCCTGATTTTTCACACATATGAAACACCTGCCTGTCTCAACCATTTACACAAATTCTGAGGTAGAGTTGTACCAGACTCGAAATGTTAACTGTTTCTCTTTCCGCAGATGCTGCCAGAACCTGCTGAGTTTCTCTGGCATTCTCTGTGTTTGCGTACAAACCTGGGTCCTTTTTATATCAAAAGGGCTCCAAAACCAGGACCACTCCTCTATGTCCCACAAGGGAAGTATGCAGTCTCTCTGCTTCCTTTGATTGCCCTAGAAGTAATACATATGCATGGAATCCATAACACTGCATTTACCGCCTTTCCCCCCAGACAGGGGGATTTCCATGTATTGCTACAAAATTGAAGCACCTTTCTTAGCTTAAAAAGACAGCCCTATCTTTTTGGCTCGTGCCTATCTTTATAAGGGCTGTGCACAGGAGATGGTGCAATGGAATCAGAAATGATCAAGGACAAGCTGTCGAATTCTACATATTGGCAGGATTCCCACAGGCCCAAGGAGTACCTCACTGAGTGTGTGGGAGACTCAAAGCTCCATATGAAAAGCTGCTGAATACCATGATGCCTTCAGTTAATTCATGTTCAGCTGGTGTGTGATGCGCAATCATTTAATATCGAGTGTTAAATCCACTCTCTGGGAATCTATCTTGATGCTTTCATCAAGTGATAATCTGCCAGACCAGCACATGTGACCAAACCATTGCAGCAAGATGCAATCTTGTTTTCAGCGGCAGCAGCGTGAGCCAGAGTGCTGACGGGAAGGTAAGGCGGTTTTTGTTTCTCCCTGTATAAAAACTTACCTCGTGCAGCAAACGCCCCTCTTGTTTTCAGCGGCGGGTGTGTGGAGGGAACGAAAACCAGGAAGAAACAGATAAATTCAGGCATTGGCTAAGCCCGAAACACTACACATGTAGTGTCTCCCACCCGTCCTCCGCCTATAACCAAAAAAGACTGTGTGGAGGTTCGGTAAGGTAAGGCTTTTTTTTAATTCTTCTTCTGGAAATCTAGAGTAGAGGGAATGGAAGCTAAGGCAGTTGCATGCTCCTCTTGCAGGATGTTGGAGATAAGGGTCACTGCTGGTGTCCCCTCTGACTTCACCTGCAAGAAGTGCACCCAACTCCAGCTCCTCAAAAACCGTGTCAGGGAACTGGAGCTGGAGCTGGATGAACTCTGGATCAATCGGGAGGCTGAAGGTGTGATAGAGAGGAGTTACAGGGAGGTGGTCACACCCAAGGTACAAGAAAAACGTAGCTGGGTGACTGTCAGAAAGGGGAAAGGGAATAGACAGACAGTGCAGGGACACCTGTGGCCGTTCCCCTCAATAATAAGTATACCGTTTTGGATACTGTTTCGGGGGATGACCTACCAGGGGAAGGCCATAGCGGACAGGTTTCTAGCACTGACCCTGACCCTGTGGCAAAGAAGGGAAGTGGGGAGACTAGGAGAGCAATTGTAGTGGGGGATTCAATAGTAAGAGGCACAGATAAGCGGTTCTGTGGACACAAACGAGATGAAAGGATGGTATGTTGCCTCCCAGGCGCCAGGGTCTGTGACATCTCGGATTGTGTCTTCAGGATCCTTAAGGGGGAGGGTGAGCAACCTGCAGTCATGGTACACATCGGTACCAATGACATAGGTAGAAAAAGGACAGAGAATGTGAAAAACGAGTACAGGGTGTTAGGTTGGAAGCTGAAGTCCAGGACATACAGGGTAGTTATCTCTGGATTACTACCAGTGCCACGTGATAACGAGGTAAGAAATAGGGAGAGAGTGCAGCTAAACACGTGGCTACAGGGCTGGTGTAGGAGGGAGGGCTTCCATTATGTGGATAATTGGAGCACATTCTGGGGAACGTGGGACCTGTGCAGTAAGGACGGGTTGCACCTGAACTGGAAGGGCACAAATATCCTGGGAGGGAGGTTTGCTAGAGCTGTATGGGATGGTTTAGACTAGTTTGGCAGGGGATGGGGAACCAGATTTATAATTCAGAGGATGAGGTATTCGGCCTTCCAACAGACACAATAGGGAGTGAGGTGGTTTATAAAGAAATGCGGTCGATGGAGCGTAATTGTGGACACCGAGATGGTTTGAGGTGTGTATACTTCAATGCCAGAAGTATCAGAAATAAGGCGGATGAACTTAGAGCATGGATTGGTACTTGGAACCACGATATTGTGGCCATTACAGAAACTTGGGTAACTCAGAGAGAGGAATGGTAGTTGGAAGTTCCGGGATTTAGATGCTTTAAAAGAAATAGGGAGGGTGGAAAGAGGTGGGGGAGTGGCATTGCTAGTCAGGGCGAGTATAGCAGCCTACTGAAAGGCAGTTCGAGAATGATATGTCGACAGAGTCAGTTTGGGTTGAGGTCAGGAACAAGAAAGGAGCAGTCACTTTGTTGGGGGTTTTTTACAGACCCCCTAATAGTTGCAGAGAAGTAGAGGAGCGGATTGGGAGGCAGATACTGGAAAGGTGCAGAAGTCACAGGGTTGTAGTCATGCGTGACTTCAACTTTCCAAATATTGATTGGAAACATTTTAATTGTTTTTAGTTGTAATAGATAGATGGAGCAGATTTTGTCCAGTGCTTTCAGGAAGGATTCCTGACACAGTATGTAGATAGACCAACACGAAGGGAGGCCACTTTGGATTTGGTGCTTGGCAACGAACCGGGCCAAGTGTTAGACCTGTTGGTAGGAGAGCATTTTGGCAGTAGCAATCATAACTCTGTTACTTTCACGATAGTCATGGATAAGGAGAGGTACATACAGCAGGGTAAAGTTTACAATTGAGGGAAGGGTAATTAC